GATTGCTATGTCATAGTAAGGAAAGTTGTGTGGTCCATGACTATGATTTTGTCTTACCAATTATCAAGTAGGGATATTTAAAACCCTGATAAATGAGGTCAGAAATTTAAAATGTCCAAGAGTCAGTTTTTTTCACATAGACAATGTAATTCCAAGGAGGAAAATGTAATTGTTATTGTAGAGATAATTAAAGTCATTACAGAAACATATTTTTCCTCCAAGGGGTCTATAAAAGAAGTTGGATGTCAGGTAGTGCTAGTGCACTGAGCATGGGGTGAACATGAGACCAGAGGTCTTAGTGGGGTCAAAGACAGGGTGTAGTTAGGGAAATTCAGAGCTGGGGAATGGTGGTCAGGAGATTTGGGGAAACCTGCCAGAACCCCTGACATCAAGGGGCTGTTGCAAAGACTGAATGAGGTCATGTATGCAGAGCAGAACATCATCTACTGTCTCCAGCTAGGCCACCTGGGTTCAAATTCCCACTGTGCCCCTTCCTGGCCGAGGGATCCTGTGAAAGTTACATATATTCTCTGACTCTTAATTTCCTCATCAGTGCAGATGAAATGACATAATACAGGAATGTACTTTGCACATAGTAAAGCACTCAAATAATATTTATTTATTATGACCCACTATTTTTATACCCTCAGGTTCCCCTATTTAAAATTGCAATCTCCAATATACTCCATTGAGAGTGTATTTTCCTATTTTATTTTTCTCTGGAGAACTTACTAACATCTCCATGCTATATATTTTACTTATTTATCTCCTTATTTTTGACCCTCCACATTAGAATGTAAGCTCCCTGACTACAGGAATATTTTTCCATTTTGTTTCCTACTGGGGATTGCTTACAGAGAGTACTAGCACACAGTAATCCTCAATATATATTTGTTAAATGAAAAAAAAAAATCATTGTCTAATCTAGCCTTGGTATACAGAAAGGATGACAAATTGTTGGTTATGAAATAGCCAAAATGACCTTGCCAGTGGGCACAATTTCCAAGATCCAAGACGTGGCCAGAGGTGTGAATTACTGAGTAGCATGGAGAGAAAGTGTGTTGGAACTGAAGAAGTCAAAGAGACCCTAAAACCAGGATGTTGGCTGGGTCATCCACATCAGTCCATGTCACAGGATGAAGCTAGGAAGCAAGGTGAAGAAGAGAGTGAAAAGGAGCTTCCTGCTTCTCTAAGCCTGCAGTTAAATGCAGAAGAATGTGGGTCAGCGGTGAACAGCAAGAAGGAGTGGTGGGCGGTGGAATCAGCAGGTGGGCTGCACACAAGCCAACAGGAGGTGGTCTGGAAGTGGCAACAGGGAATTGGAGAATTCAAACAGTGCCTTGGAGCCCCATGACATATGGCCCACAGAAGACTGGAGAACTTTCCAGGGAGTGTGCTACAGAAGCAATGGTCTCTGAAGAGAGCTGGGATTCAGTTAAGGAAACAGGTGGGCGAGGTTGGCAGAGAGCCTGCGAATGTAGAGGAGGGTGTTGCTAAGGATGTGACATTCCTGAAGGCGTGATAGGGGTGATAGCACTAGCAGGAGCACAGAACAGTCTAGAGATGGGTGTGCAAGAGGCTGTATGCACAGAGGATGGAGATGGTATTCAGACACAAGGACACTTAAGAATGGTTACAAGGTTTCTTGTTTGTTTTTCATTACGAGATAGATACAAGATGATTTTGTAGTTAAATAAGCTAATCAAGGAGAGGGACAGCAAATTTCTGGAAACATCTTCATGTTAACTATGCTCTAAGGATTTGTTCAAATGTCTAACAGTAACATCTTCCGCTTGTTATGGAAATATCTTTCCCTTCCTTCCATCTTAGAAGAATACTTGATAGCTTCAATAGGATATACTCTTGGGTGAATTAATTTAAGTCATTACCTTTTGCAACTTTTATTTTTTTTAAAACCCAACTAAAATAGATTAAGATATTACTGAAATTGTTTATCAAAGTGAAACATTAAGAAAAGCTTTGGAACTCTTGTGGGTTAGAACTATTGTTTAACACTTGTCTATCTTTCTTGTTAAATCAGTTTGAAAGTATGAAGCATATCATGTTTATATCCAGATAAATTCATAAGCCAATGTTCATTAGTTGGTTGGTTGGTTGGTGAGTGGCTCAAACACTTGCTTACTGTAAGAACAAAGGCACTGTAAGAACAGAGCAATGAATGAGACCAGCTAAGGTTTTGAACACTATAGAATGGCAATAAATAATTATTTAAAAGCTGTTTAGAACAAGTGAATAATCTGACCTGCAAATTTTCTTTTTCTGATTCCCTGAATGAAGAATTGAAGAAAATGATAATATGAATAATAACAAATGTGGGCAAAACCAGAGTGCCCTAGGAGAATATGCTAGCAGTGCTATTGGATAGAACATGTGGAATGACTGTCCATTTGGAGTTTAAAATTTGGGTTGGGGAATTATTCTCAAGGGGATTTCCGTGTCATTTATCATCACAGCAGAAAATTTAAAAAATCCTTCCAGCGTGCACTAGGTAAAAATACCTGAGGCTAATATATGTAAATGATGAAAACAAACCTTCTCCATTTTTTTTTAAGGTTTTATTTATTTATTTTTCTATTTTGGGTGTGTAGAGCTAAGGGGGAGAGGCAGAGCGGGAGAAGGACAAGCGGACTCTGCGCTGAGCATAGAGCTGATGCGGGGCTAGATCTTAACACCCTGAGATCATGATCTGAGCTGATACTAAGATGCTTAACCAACTGAACCATGCAGGAATCCTACCCTTCTCTATTCTTAAAACAGCCATTCTCGTTCAGATGGCAAAGGGTTATGCTTAGTTTCTCCTAAGTCCTGAAGTTCATTTTAATGTACTTTTATCTGCATAAGCATTTCTTAATGAGAGAGTAGGGGCATATATTTGTGATACGGCTGCTTCCATAGACCCTCCGGAAACCTTTTCTATACTTCTTTGACTTGCGCAAAGTCCAAGATAAAGGTAACATGTATTAGAGGTACTAGAGAAATAAATACAATTTATTTCTATTAAAAATACAATTTATTTCTATTAAAACACCTTCTTGCATGACTTTCTTGATCTAACAAGATGCTTATGAGATTCAGATCTTACTAATTAGAATGGCTATGTTACCAACTTTAGTTGCCTACTATTATGTTTTATATTATATAATTATTTTCCTAAAATGAAAAAAAAATATAGTTCACATTGATATTCCACACAGTTACTAATACTTATATTTGGTTGATAATATATATTTTGAAAACAAACAGACCAATAACTTAAAATTGTCTTTAGATAGGTATCTTCAAAAAAAAGTCTCTCTTTATTTAAAGAAACCCAAACTCAAACACAAGCAAATGAGTCAATAGATACTCTAAAACCAAAACAAATGGAAACAACAAACACATGGAAGTTCATTTTTTGTGGAGCCCCAATTACTTGAGGCAGGGTTGACAATATCATATGGTTCAATTTCCTCATTAAAACAGGGCCAAGTATTGTGCTGCGGCCAGCCTGAACATGAGAGAGGGACTTTACATAGGCAGGTATTTGCTGTACTTTGGGATTACCAACCAATTCAACTGTAGCTTCTCCTTTTGATATGTGCTGATCAGTAAAAAGACTCCTGGGCACTAATTAATTCCATCTAATTCAAATAGAAAGTTTAGAAGGTCATAAGTTTGTGGACTTTGCATCTTAGTTATTACAAAAGTAATGACCTGAGGCAATGAAGGCTTCTGATATCATGTAGGAATCATGCATCCTCCCCTGACAACTGCCTCTTCACCTGTCCTCCACCTGAGCTAGGACAGGACATCAGATATGTGAGAAGCCTTAAATCAGATCACTCTTTTCTGCTGCTGCCCAGGCTACTCCAGGCTAAGGACTTCCACCTCTAGGACCATCTTGCAGGGAAAATTCACCCTTGAGAGAAAAAAAGCCACACCTCACAAGCTACTTAAAAATCTCTGTCAGTCATTCTGATTTTTAAAGTTGCGATAAAACACACACTCAAGTTGGAAAAGTTCTTTTTGCTGTCGTAAAACACAAAGACAAGTTCAATGTTTAGATTCGACTCTAGAATAGAATACATTTTGGTCAACTTTTGATCCTAGGAGAAATTTAGTTACTTAAAATGGTAGGAAGTAGGAGCTTAAGTGATACATATTTGTGGGTGAGACCACCCACAATTAAATTAAATTATTTAAGTTTTCCCTACAATTAGCTTAAATAGTATTTTTTATCAAATGCCAAGCCTATTAAAATGATTTAGAATTTAACATAAAACAGAAGAATGTTAATCCTTAATTCAGAATATAACAAATTATTCAACAGTGAGGTTAAATATCTGACATTATATTTATGTAAATTCACCTTAATCTTCTAAAATGACAAGTCCAGCGATAGTTGTATATTTTCCTACAGCCATGTCAGTTGCAATTTCAGTAGATGCAAATAGAATTTACTACAATACTCCTTTTTGTTCTTTTCCTCATTTTTCTGATCTCCTGTGCAGCATTCCTTGTCATAATATTATGTATACATATTCATGTTTTACAATAATGGATGTGATATCTGAAATATTAGTTATCCAAAACAAAATTAAATGCCGATTCCAACCAAAAAGTCCTTACATTTGTCATATTCCTGTCGTATTTGCAAAAGAGTCTGGAAAGAGCCCTGGTTGACAGAGTTAAGTTCCTTGGCCAAAAAAGGTGTTTGTTTGCTTTTTTTTTTTTTTTCCAATTTAACACAGTGAATTAAGTAACCAATATTGACTGCAAATTGGCTTGATTTTTTTTTAATATGAAAAATTGAAGATCCCATACAAACCAAATTCATGTCATATTTTCTTTAGTATTTCGTATTTTCTAAGTAGCCATAGCATTTGTATATAGAAGGTGAGACCAGGTCTTTTGGAAAGAGAACTGGGATTTGGAAATGCAGATGGGAAAAAAAGGATGAGGGGAGTAAACTAGAATCTGGTATGCTATGTACTACTTACCTTCAAAAGTCAAATAAAACTTTCCTCTGTCAAACCAAACGAGGGAAGGCTGTTCATTCTCTGTATGGCCAGGAGTTGAAGCGGGATGGGAAAGGTTAAGGAGAGGGAGAGAGAAGGACACAGTATGAGTTACAGGTCATTAATCTTACTATGGGGGAGGGCGGAGGCACTGCATGCCATTAGCGTGCAGGAGAAAGGGAAGGCTGGCAGTCTATGTTTTGGTTTTTGTTTTTAGTTCGGGAAACAGAAAGCAAAAGCAAAGCTATGGAGGCCTAAAGGGATGGGCAGCTTGATACTCGGTGCTTGAGCGCATGGAGTGGAAGTCTTCCTGGCCATGCAGGGGCGCCAGCATATTTTAACTGCACTAGTTAGGGCAAACGGTCATTCAGCAATTGCTGTATCCATTTCATCTTCAGTGTCATCCCCTTCTATATTTTCAAAAAGATAAACTCGGTGTTATGGGTTATATCAAACTTAGCTTAGGTTTTAAATGACATTGCATATCAATTTAAATTTCATGGAAGATGTCACACCATCTTCCGTCCCCTCGCCTGCAATCACCTTAGGCATCCAGACACAAAACACCCTTTACCTACGTACCAAAGAGAAAACAAGATTACTGACATTGTTCTATTGTATTTTAAATCAAAAAGCAGTCACTGGACATGTAATTCTGAGCAGTTAAATTATTCCTTTCTTTGTAAATTCACAAAGCAGTGGCATCTCACCTTTTTCAAACCTTTTGAGAAACTGTCATGCAACCTGCTGCTTTTTAATATGTTCATTAAAAAAAAAAAATTGGTGGAATGAGTTCCACAATGAAAAATAAGTAGATAGGGTGCTTCTGAGAGGCACCAGAGACTCATGAGGTGAGTAGCATGTCCATGAAGTTTACAGCATTCAGATGGCATAATGGCTTGGATTTTTAAAGTCTGGATACCTAGACATCACTCGGCTAGCACCATACCTGCCAGCGTTTCACAGCGCCTTTCAAACGAGGGCAGTTTGTCATAAAAAACATCATCTTCTGACACTACGAACCAAAGAAATATAAAGGAATGGAAAACAAAAACACAAATACAAACCCCAAATGAAATTAACAGTACACTTCACCGGTTGAAACACAGAAATGATATTAATGGAAAAAGGAAACAAAACCTAATATGCTGGGATAAGGATGAGAGGCTACAAAACAAGTGATGTGCTTATTTTATGATGGTTCTATGAGAAAAAATTAAAAATTTTAAAATTAAAAATTCAGCATCTGTGAATTTGGCTGAAGTTAGCTCCATGGAGGAAATCACGTTCCCACTATTTCAGGGAATTGTTAAAGGCACTATCATTAGTAATTGTCTTGTGTAAGTGCATTTCACTCAGACACAGTTCTCAAGTGGCCAGACATATGTCCATCAATAGAACCTCTTGGTACACAGGGTCACTCAGAGTACAACTTCTCCCTGCCCCGATGGGTAAGAGTAAGCTTTCAACAAGACTAAAAAAAAAGCAACAGTATAAATCTGAGGTTGCTGAATGAAGTATCCCATTTCAAACTCATTGGTATCCAAATTTAATTTGCCTTGAGCCCGTCTTTAGTTGTTATGGCCTGATAATTTTGGACAACATTACTGTAATTCCGTCTTTGGCTATGGTATCCAGCTATGGCCAAATGTCTTTGTAAATTGATCACAACAGTTGCTCTGGATCCCAACCATTCCAGATCTTTGCACATGGTCTCCTTTCTCACCAACTAACAAAGACAGGTAATTGGAGTTCTATGCTTTGCGATGAAAAAAAAAAAAAAAAAGTGCTTGATTCCATAGGTCTTAAGAGTATTATTATAACTTAAATTAAGAATTGAATAAAATCTATACAAACACCCATAAGGGAGAATCCTCCCTACAATGTAGAGAGGATAAGGAAATTGATGAGTAGTAAAATTATTCTGTAAACATTGTTTCTTGGAAAAAATATTCCACTGGCTTGCCTCCTTGATTTAGGAAGCAAAGCAGGAAAAGAAATTCTTTGTCAGTTTTTAAGATTCTAGGATAGCACCTGTCAATCAGCATTTATTATACAGGTGGCTTCCTTGGTGGGTAGAACAAGTTAATGCAATGCATATAATATTTATAGGAGAGGAACAGGGCATGGCACTAAGAAGGACACTCCATAATCTGTCCAGAAAATATGAAGCAAAACAGTTACGTTGGCAGTAACTGAATGTTACGATACTCTTTCATACCTGTTAGTGGGAAATGATGGAGGATATTTCTTCCCTTTGAAGAACTAACTTCGTATTTACAATTTCTTTAAAATGAGGAGCCTCCATCATGATGAGCACTGAGTAATATATAGAATTGTTGATCACTATAGTGTACACCTGAAACTAATATAATACTGTATGTTAACTATATGGGATTAAAAGAAAAAACAAACTTAAAAAGAAAGAATAGAAGGCAAGAATTCACACACCCCAAAAAAATGGGCTTCCAATATTGCCATTTGTTTTTTGAATTGAAGTTACAAAAGAATAATTCACAGAGCTGAATAACATGCTCATAATTTTTTTGTGGTGGTTGTGGACATCGAGGGTTTCAAAGAAAACATCATAACTAAATTGGGGAACTTAAAAGGTGAATTATTGGATAGCTCTGTGGTTGCTTTAAATAAGGGCAACACTCAAATTAAGTACAGAAGAAAAGAATTTCCTTAGGAACTAACAATGGAAGTTGCCTCAGGTTGATCTGGGATGGGGAAGTCAGAACAAGAGACATCTTTCAAAAAAAAAAAAAACACAAGTAAAATAAAATAAGATAAAATAATATATATATGTATATATACATATATATATATATATATATATATTAAGAATTTTTAGTTGAGACCAGGGATATCCATCTCCAAAGGTCTTTCTGTGCAGAGTTATTGGCATTAATATAAGTATTTTTAAAAGAATGTTTATCCAATTCAGAATTGCCACCCAGCCTGGAGGGACAAAGACTTGGATAAAATATTGTAAGATTTAGATGCTACAGCTAATATTCCAGTACCAAATATAAATCACTTTTGCTTGGAGTTCTACGCCAAAGGAAACATCAAAATCCACCTACTATTTCCTTTGATGCCTGTAAATGGTTACTTTTCATTCATTCAGATTTCTGAGAGGATGTTAAAGATGCAGTTGAAACTGCATAGTTAACAGAGAAGGAATATAATTAACAATACAATTAATAATATATGTATTTTTTCATTTAATAATGAAAAAATTGTCTTCATGGTATTGTTACTGCGTTTGGGTACCAAAAAGAAAAAAAAAAAACAAAAACCCTAACTCTCAGCCGTAGAAATAATAAAAAAAGTAAGAAAAATGGATATTGAAGTTAGACGTAACTCTGTTTATCTCTAAATGTCTAAGAGTTTGCTTGTTTCTTAGACTAATTTTAAAAATTTTTCTCTATTCCTGTAAAATTAGTAGGATTTTCCCCCAAAAATCAAATAGTGAAGGTCTTCTGAGTGTTTCTAGTGCAAAAGGAGTATACTATATTTCATTGATTCTGATATGTGCACTTTTTCACATTTAATATCTCTGGAATTGGAATAAGTTTGAGAATTAAGTGTGATAAGAAAGCACTGTTAGCTTATTTGGCAGTTTTCCCCTCCCTTTCTTAGTCATATATAAAATAATAGTGTATCTTCTTAAATTTGGAAATGCACAGAAAGTCCTATTTTCAGGTGTGGCATCAGATTTTCTACTTTATAATCACAGCTTTCATGAAACATTTTATGTCCAAATTTTGGGAGCATATTCTTTAAAAAGTTTAGTCCTTGGATTGCATTCCACTATGCGATAAGCGAGTACAAATAAATACATACAAAGTTTCCACCACACTTGACCCAGTTTTAGCTCAGATATCACAGGAAATGTCAAAAAAGTATTGTGTGGTAGGAGGGAAATGTTGAGCCAGCAATCTCAAAAGTTTGCTGCTGAAATTCTCTATCCCCCGCAAGCCATTTGACTGCATGAAGTTGACATTCCAAGTCAGTCATGAATAGTCAGCCCTTTGGTGCTGAACAGCCAAAGCACATCCTCTCCAAAAAGAGATAAACAGCAATACATAGGAGCTGCCAGGCAGCCATCTGACAGGACATTTACGTCAGAGGGAAGTGGCTGTCAGGTGACGCACAGCAGCAGGAAGTAAAGAACAGGAGTGTGAGGAAGAGGACAACCAAAAAAACAAACAAAACACAACCAAAAAAACCCCCAAAACCCCAGAATCAAACAAATCAAACAAATCAGAATGGTCCTCAGCAATGAGGCAATATAAGTATCTTCTTAGGTGGCCATATATATGTATGTATATATATACATACATATATATATAAATATTATACTATATTATATATATATATAATATATATATATATATATATTAACGCCTCTGTCATTCATCCTGAAAGAATGCATACTGGTTGTGCTAAGAATCAAAGTCACTGGCTAGGATTTGAGACTTCTGTGGCAGGGAGTATAAAAACACATTGTATAAAACATGGACACAGTTCAAATTCTCTGTGTGTGTCATTTTCTCTATGAATCTCAATGAGTTTAAAGAATATGTTAGTCAGTCATCTGAGGTCAGTTGAGGTCTCCTTTGTGAGGGAGAGTTTATGCTTCTTACTTTCCTCTCTGACCAACCAGGAAAATCAGAGTAGGTGGGACAAATAATCTTGAGGAAAAACCAACCCCAAACAAAAGCCTCCAAATAAAACAAAAACAAAAACAAAAACAAACAACAACAACAACAACAACAACAAAAACAGAGCAAGAAGGGGAAATGGCTGTAGCAATTAGGAGTATTAAACAGTGTCCCAAAAAAGTTGGGACATTACAGAAAAAACAAAAGACTCCAGAGAGAACTGACTGAACAGGCATCTTAAAATAGGAAGCCCCACATTACCTCAAAGGATGATGCAAAGAAAAACAGAACTTGGCTATATTAATAATGTTAAATATCTGTTCATGAATAACTGACTATATTTTTACCAAATTTGAAGGATTGTTTGGGCTAGTCTGATTAAAAATATAGAACACATGATATAGTTGAAATTCTCTTTGGGGCCCCCATGAGGCACACCTTCATTCATATCCCTGGGAAAATAGGGAGTTCTCCAGAAGAGCTTCAGGCTTTGAGCAAAGTACTTCTCACATGGGCAAGCTCTTCTTTGGTAAATAAAAGCAGGGATTTATTCAGCTTTGAGTTAATGATTCTCCCAAGCAGTGCAGGAAGGACCAGCTGGTTGACAATATGGAAGACTTGGAGGGGAATTCAGACAATAAAGGAAGCCAATGGGAGAAAATGGAAGGGCAGAGCCCCAGGTCAGAGATACCATGCAAACACGAGAGAGGCAACTGCTTATGGAAGACGGGTAAAGAGGTGTCCAGAGAGATGAGCCTTGGGAAGAGGAAAGATGCTCCAGGCAAAATGAGGCATTTAAACCTGGGAAAACCATCCAGCTGAGCAGCCAGTCTCAACTCTTGACTTTCATCACACCAGAAGGAAAGAGGCACAAAGGCATTTACTGAAAATGCCAGCAATGACTTATTTCTCAGGGAAAACTGACCACACATCACTGAAACACACTAAAAAGAATGTCACAAAGTTTGCTCAAGTCCCACAATGCCAACACTTATACCATCTGTCAACATAAGGACAACCAAAAGTGATGAAGAAATGAAAGCTTTAAGAAAATAAAAGATTGAATTTTGTGATTTCTCATGTGGTACACGACTGGAACTTAAATAAACATTCCTCCTCGAAGGAGACTAGTTTTATTATAGTAATAATATGCAAATTACAGGACCTTATTTGATGATTTCTTCTTTACTTTTATGAGTAGCTCTGTATGGAATAGCATAAGAGAATTCCTGCAAAATACAGGTGTAAATGATCTTTTATTTGTTTATTTGCTTAGTTGAAGCGTTTTGCCTCCTTTGCTGAGAAGGTGCTTTTAAGAGAAGAGTCAGCTGATAGTAGCAGAACACAGAGCAAAACAATTTCAACCAGAAGTACAGGGCCTTGAGGTTTTCAGATCATAAAAAATAGCCAGTCAAAACAACAAACGGATTAAAAGACAGGAGATAATTTTTACCAACTGTGGGAGTGGTGGCTGCGCTCAAGGAATTGGTGGACGATATTGAAGAGGTACTTTCAGCTCGGGCAAGGGGTGCTATCGGAGGAGGGCTGGAAGAATGTATGGGAGGGCTAAAAGGTCTGGGCTGCAGGAAGAAGAAAAGAGAAGAAAATTAGATACACTTGTTCTGAGTTATTGACATCTTCCAGCCCTGGATATGACAACTCAGGTTCTTAAAAGAGTAGAGGCGACACCATTTTTATTTTGAAATTGATTCTATCTCTACAGGGGCTTGTGGATGGAGCTAGAGGAACCACAAACCATGGTGTGCAGGTAACCTCCCGTGATAGCTTATACCCATTTAAACATATTTAAATACAGTATACTCAACTGAGCTAGCTAAACCAAATATTATGGACATCACTAGTTTGTAACTTCTGTGCATGGATAGCAAAGAAACGGTCCTCTTCCAGAAGTCTCTTAATCGTTCACACAGAATGTTTGTCACCTCTTCAGCCTTAAAACATGATGCAAGAAACTTCTGGAACAAATTTATCAGGCTACCACCCTCCTCTATATTCACACAGTGTGCTTAACACCAATAAGTTCTCTTAGTCTGGGGATGGAAATCAGGACCTACCCTCTTTTGGAGTCTTCCCAAACCAGATAACTAGGGTGAAAGGAAACCTCTTTCTTTCTAAAGGACTTAGCACAATTGAGCATTACTAATTTGCATCAGATGCACTGTAGCAGAACTGAGAATAATCCTATCATTTTAGATCTCGACTTGAAAGATGGTAGAGATTGAGGGAGGGAGGTTTGAAATGTATACCCATGCTGCAGTGACTGCCTTTCAGATGCCACCTGTCAGGGCCATTCGTACAAGTGGTCCGAGGCCATGGATGTAGCCTGTGTTGCAGCATTTTGGCTTCTGTTTGTCATTCTCGCCTTGAGTCTCTGAGCAAGCCAGAGCAGGAGGGAACGTACCACATCTCCAACTCCAGGTTTTCCTGGAGGTAGCTTTGGCCGAGATGGAGGCCGGGGAGGTGGCGGCGGAGGGGTGGTGCTGCTGCAGGGAACCAAGGGAGTGGCTGGTCGAGCAGGGGATGACGCACCTGAAAAACAAGCTGGTATTAAGAGTGGCCCGAAACGCGTGTGGCTGAGAGCTGTCATGGCGGAATCCCCCTTCCCCTTCCCCCCCACCCGGTACAGCGCCAGCCCCGGACACTTTTCTTCACCCCAGCAGTTAGTACACTCAACACTCTAGCATCTAGTGTGTATGTGTGTTTTTTTCTTTTTTTTTAATAAAGAAAAAAAAATCACTCCGTTGAACTAGAGTTGATGGCAGAAGCTGAAGCTTATTGCCTTTTGTTGTCATGTGACACCCAGCGAAAGGTAAATCCGATCATTCTCTGTGATGGGAAATACGCTTTCAGGCCCTTTCAGCCTGGTGGTGGGGACCTTTCATTTTCACCACATACACACCAAACTTCTAATAAATTCTCTTGTTTTGACATATTCAGAATTTATGTCCAAGGTGAAAGTGGAGGTTAGACCTCGAAGGAAGGTGAATGATTTTTCCGCATTATATGCATACATATGCATACATACACATACATATATATATATATTTTAAACATGTATAAGAGAATTATCCTTTTTACTGTGCTTCAGAATATGAATGCTAACTTTAATAAATAAAAGTAAACACTTGATGGCAAGCAAAGGACAGAATATAGGAAAGAAATGTTGCACGAGTAATTTGCAGTTAGAATCTTAATAACAGAATCACACTGAATTTAGAGGATTGTATTTTTTGAAGGACGCTGTTTAGGAATCTGTTCTATGTAGAGTTGGCCCATGATGATTTTTGTGGTGATTTTGAAAAGACCCTCTTGGATTTACATTTCTGGCTGTCAATGACAAACGTGGGAAACACGGAAGACACACAGAGGCCGGCATGCACACTAATCAGCACACCAGTAGGGTCTTGAGACTCAGGCGGTCAGACTATCCTTAGCCAGATCACTGGGGTACGTGGATTAACTACTTGAGTCCACACCTGAAGAAATTCTGATCGATATTGCAAACAGTGCTTGTTCAGAGAAGTTCCAACTAATTCGGGAGGTTTTGTCACTTTGGTTAGACGCACAGGTATCAGATCATTCCAAGAAAATTCTAAGAAATCCCGCCTCAGGAAAATAACTGCCCACTCCACTCCTCCCATCCAACATGCCACAAAACTGTGCTTTCTGGAGAAACCCAGATCAGCAAGATACTGGTCTCCATCTCCAGATCTTCGGATTCCCAAAGAGCTTTGAAGTTGAAAAGCAAAACCCATCATCTTGGAATCTGCTCTCATCTTAGGAGAGTCCCTGGGGGGTAAACCTTGCTCCTCTTATTTAAATACAACCTGAAATAGTGATTGTGTTGTGTTTCTCTGTGCTGTTTATTCTATGTGTAATTTCGTTAGTGTGAAACCCTACTAAAATTACTGCCATCTCCATCCCTATCTCTACGGCCTCTCCACCCCATCTCTTTTTTTCTGTATTCTTACTTTTTATTTTATTGGGTCAAGATCAATGTTAGGCGCTTCACATGCATTATTCTATTTTATCCCACACCAAGTTTCGTAGGAACGTATTGTAGTTACATCAATCAGAGCTAGAGCTCGGAGATATTGGGTAACTTGTTCAAGGTCCCATAACTCATATAGTTGATTTAAGTCCAAGGCCCAAGCTCTTAAATGCAGTGTCTTGTAGCTTTAGAAGGAATGTGAGGTCCCACATTTTGCACAAAGTCTGCCCTCACTTTTGCAACAGCAGCTTGAACATATCTCTCTCAACGTAAATATTTTTAGTCTTCGGTTAATCTTTTCTTGAATAAAAAAAGAAGATATGTTTTGACAGGTCCCACTACAAAGTTTCCTTTTGACTTAATAGACTGACACCCAGGATGTTTTCAAGGAAACAGAAGTGACAGCAGAGATGGAAAATAAATCTTTAAACAACAAAGTCGTTTTCAGGAAGTTACATGGGGCTTTTTCTAGGTTCTGTTTCACTGGAAAACCACGCCATAGGAATGGTTCAAAATATCTATCCATGGTTCTATTTCCAAGAAATAGTCTTCTGAATCAAGCTCAGGAAAAGGTCAGCTGCTTATCTTTTTTCTACATGTTCTAAGAGGGAAAGTTTTGAAAATCACTGTCAGTAGTGCTTGGGAAAGTTAATGAAAAAAACTGAATGAAATGGCAGATGATCTGAGTTCTGGCCTTGCCTGCCTCTTACGGGCTGTGGGATCGCAACCTCTCTGAACCTCAGCTTCTTATTTTAAAAAATGAGACATTTCTACCTTACAAGGTAGTTGTAACAATGGAAATGGAAATGCATATCAAGTGTTTATTAACTATAAAATGCTACACAAATAAAAGGAAATAGATGTTGACAATGATGGTAAAGACTGTCTTTTCCTACAGACACAACTAAAAGCAAAGAAAAAAGTAGCTAGTTAACTGTTTTCCTCTTCCTCTCACTTTTTCCTAACTGGATTGATTTAACTGATTTGTTGTGCAGTTAGAAAGACACTGAGGCACTGCTTAAGAGGCAAAACCCTCTTGACAGAACCCTGAGGTTCAGCAGAGGGTAGTCAGGGCCTAAGGGGAATTTTATAACTGAACTGAGGCTTCCCATGCTTTTGTGAGATCACACAATTGTTTCATATCCTAGAAGACTATTTGTAGGTCTCTAGCCTCATTCTTTGATCTGGAATTATACCTTCATTTCTTCTACAAGCAGTGTTTATTCCCAAGAGCTGTGCTGGGAAAAAGCCTGGACATTCGCTGTTTCAGATTTAACTTTGAAAATCACCCATATGTTATTTGAGTTTCGTAAGTTCAAAAAGTTGACAGCCATTGACATGCTTTCAACCCATTTGCTGCTTCAACTTGAAGTTCTAATATAGTATTTTTGGTAGCCACATAATGACTGCTTCAACTTCTGTCTTTCTTTGTTGGCTAGTGGCTTCCCTATTTGGACTCTGCCACTCTACAAGACTTGTAGTTAGGAAATATATTCTTTAGGTCAACCCCAGTTAGCTCACACTCATTTGTCTATAAATGTGAGTGTGTGTGTGTATGTATGTGTGTAACATCTTCTAATATTGCCTTAGTTTCTCATGTTGGAAAGTGTTGCACTGAACATTCTATCTTTATGGACACCTCTCCTTACCTGGTCTCTACAAGCCAATAGAACTCTTTCTCTGTCCCATTCCCTGTCACACTACCCACAAGGGAGAAGAAATGGCCTTTGCCAAGAGAATCATCATCTCCATTCCAATAAAGCAAAGTTCTAGCCAAACTAGGTATTTATAACTTTGCCCTAAGGAAATGGAAGTTCTTAGAACAAATTCTGAACTTTCAATTGCTTTTCAACATCAGGTAACTCAACTGATTCACAAGGCTGCATGTAATGTCTGCATTTGGTCAGTGACCAAGTGAGTGAAATTTTTAAATTAATGGTTTTAAATGGTACCCAGTTAGGGGCGCCTGGGTGGCTCAGTGTGTTAAAGCCTCTGCCTTCAGCTCAGGTCATGATCCCAAGGTCCTGGGATCAAGCCCCATATTGGGCTCTCTGCTCGGCGGGGAGCCTGCTTCCTCCTCTCTCTCTGCCTGCCTCTCTGCCTACTTGTGATCTCTGTCTTTCAAATAAATAAATAAAATCTTAAAAAAAAAATGGTACCCAGTTAAATATAGTTTGAGATGTACAGGAAAACTAGTCTTATCAGGCTAAGTTTTATAAAAAGGAGGTCTTGAGAAGCATGGCTGATTTTTTTTTTAAGATTTTATTTATTTATTTGACAGAGAGAAAGATCACAAGTAGGCAGAGAGGCAGGCAGAGAGAGAGGAGGAAGCAGGCTCCCCGCCGAGGAGAGAGCCCGACTTGGGGCTTGATCCCAGGACCCTGGGATCATGACCTGAGCCGAAGGCAGAGGCTTTAACCCACTCAGCCACCCAGGCACCCCAGCATGGCTGATTTTTAAAACATGAGGCCATCTCCCATTGTCTTAATCATAAATTTACATTTCTGCTAGTCTGTGTATATTCCATCAATAAAACATTAAATGGCAAATAAACTGGGACTTAATTAAGGAGATAATTGTGCAAAAGTTTTATTTATTCATGAGCTTCATTGACCCAGTTAAATTTTCCACTTAGAAATCCAATCTTTTACCTGCAAAGTATAGGGTTTTTTTTTCCAGCTCAATTATTAAGAATCAATAGTCTTTACTGGTAACACCTAAAAATAATTTCAAATAACTTATGAAGCTAAACAGAGGAATGACAACAAAATTCTCGACGATTTCAGAAAGAAAGCTAAGGCTCCCTTCTTCACTCATTAGATCAGTGCTCAGTTCAATTAAATATCTTCCAGAGTCTTGTGGAAGGTGATGGAAGAAACAAACGAGCGACAACTCTGCCCTGTCCTCCCTTCCCCAACTAAACCTGTTCATTTTAAGGCAAGCACAGTGATCCACCACTGGAACAAGAGGGTTATTCCTCTAGAAGTCTTTTCAGAAGACTGAGAGCCTCATTCTGGGAGAAGAGCACCATGAAGACTCTGGAAGCACTCCCCTCTTTGACAGGAGACAGGTCTGAAGTTCGAAATGAAGGCTTTAACTAGGATTCTTTTATTACCCTTACAGTTAAGTAAGGAGGCTTATATCCCCAAAATGATCTAAAAATGCAACAGAGGATGAAGGTGGGTGCTCTAACCCTTTAGAATTATTGAGAGGTGCAGAGAGAGTGGGTTTTGAGAGAATTGTTGGTGACCCTGTTGATGACACAGGTCCCGACAGGTGGGTGTCAGTGGTCAAATAAGTTTGGGAGATTTTGTAACTAAACTTTAAGAGTAGTGGAGCATAAGAAATAACATGGAGGTCATGGGGAGATGGAGAGGAGAAGGGAGTTGAGGGAAATTGGAAGGGGAGATGAACCATGAGAGACTATGGACTCTGAAAAACAATCTGAGGGTTTTGAAGGGGCAGGGGGGTGGGAGGTTGGGGGAGCCAGGTGGTGAGTATTATGGAGGGCATGTATTGCAGTGGGTGTGGTGCATAAACAATGAATTCTGTTATGCTAAAAAGAAATTAAAAAAAAAAAAAAAAGAGTGCCTGGAGAGCCCTGGGGTTAAGAACACAGGCTTAGAATCAGACAGACCTGAGTATGACTGAGTATCCCAAGTCTGTCACCTGTAGCTGTGTAAACTTGGGAAAATTACTTGACATCTCTGAGCCTCAGTATTCCCAAGTTTACACGGCTGCAAAATAGGAGAAATAAGAGAGCATTTATCACATGGGATTGTTGTAAGGATGAAGCAATGTGCACATAGGATTAAGATGATAACCAGGAGAAGAAACTATAGCTGTTATTCTTGGCAAATTAAAGATTCTCAGAGGTCCTGTGGTAAAGAAACCTGCTGATTTTGTTTTAACACAATGTTCCCCAAATTTATTTGCATATTAGGTAGTTGTGCTTTTTCGGTGGAGGAAGGCACCTGGGACACATGCAGTGATAGAAAAACATTGATTTTGTGTGGGGTACTGGTGACTCTCCAGCCCTCTCCTTGATCAGACTGGATGCTTGAAGCACAGGAATTCTCAAACACAGAGCAAGCCCTGAACTACTCCATTGAAAGAGGCAGCAATGATTAATGACTATCAGAGTGGAGACAAATGTCTTTCCTTCCGGTCTCTTACTGCATCGAAATAGCATAAACTTGGTCACCTCTTCCAAAGCAAATGAAAAACAAAAAATTCATGGCACTCAGAAGGTGCCTAAACCAAACCTACAGGCACAGGAGGGAAGGCCCTGGGGGCAGAGGGGGGTGGTTCTTGCCAGATCAATGTGAGCAACAGTAGGAGAAAAAATATGGAAGAAGAGACATTAGAAAATCTTGATCTTTCTTCAGCGTGCATGGCAGGTGTTGCCATCCTTTTATATGATGGGAACTCAAAATGAAGCTTCAAAGAAGGGAAACCAAAATGTCAGGTTCAACATCAACATTTGCATAGAAAGTCCTAAATGTCCATTTCTGACAGACTTCCCCATCACCTGTCACCATGCTTTGAGTTTACTTTACAGCTGATGAGCTTATCAAGATAAAATCAGAATAATTTGTCTTCAGGGGCAACTTGATACACTGTGGTTGTAGTAAGGTACGTTCTTTGTGCTGTCCCCTAAAAATCTCCTTTTCAAACCCTACTTCTTTTTTTCTGAAGTAATTAGAGGGGTTAACATGGTTCTCCCTCTACGGAAAAAGAAAGAACTGGGGGAAAAAGAAAAAAGTAGAAAAAGAAAGAACACAGTGACCTACCTACCAAAATTAGGACCCTTGGGAAAAAACAGTATAAACTTTCAGTTATAAGATGAATACAGTCTGAGGAGCTAATGCGTAACACGGTGACTATAATGCTGTATTGTATAATTGATGACACCATATTGTGTAATTGTAATTTGTTGAGAGAATAGAGCTTAAATGTCCTTGCCTTCCCCCTACCCAACCCCACCCCCCAAAGGTAAATATGTGGTGTGTTAATTAACTCGATGGGAAGAGTCCTTTCACTGTGTATATATATCTATAGCTCAAGTCATCACATTGTACACCTTAAATATCTTATAATTTTGCCAATGATAATAAAGCTGAAAACAAAATAAAACAAGCTAAAAAACGTCCTTGTACAGGCATCTGACAGGGAAATTAGACACTTAACATGAAACTCACTGGCTAGGAAATCTGTCTTTCTAGGACTTTCCTGAAGTCCAAACAATGACAAAGCAGCTTCTTTAAAAAATATGCACTTCCTAACAGCAGGGTGGAAGGCAGGGCGCTCCCAAGGAGCGCTGGGAGGTGCAGGGCAGAACACATCACAGACTTGCACTATGACGGTGAGCATTCGATGCACTAGGACATGCCATGGGGCCACAGAACACCCAGACCAGAGGAGGGATGGCTGAAGCTCTAAAGCCAACTGCCAGGCAGGAGGAGGGTGTTGCTCACACTGCAGCAGCCACGGCCATTCCCCGTCACATGAAGCACACTCAAACAATAAGACGTACCACTGGTGGTCCCCGTACCACTGCCCGAGCCAGGTCCAGGGGATGATACCACAGTCCTGTAGGTGGGTGGTGGTGGGGGAGGTGGGGTTGCTCTCTGTCCCAACCCAAAATCTTTGGGAGATGAGATTGTTTCTAAGTAATCATCTTTAATGAAGCTCTGCTCAGCGATTTTCTTCTGGACTTCTTCTAAATTGAGTGGCGACGGTACATTGCGAGGAGGACCAGAGGGTCCTGGGGGTCCTGGGGGGCCTGGAGGGCCTGGAGGGCCCGGAGCTGGGGAGTCAGATGGGTTGTCTGATGCAGCTGGTGGGGACACCACCTTTTCCCTTGGAGTCAACTCTGGAGTAATACGTTCCGGGGACGTATCAGAAAAATGGACCCACTTTTCTTCAGCATTAACAGCAACAGACTTGGGGGATAACACGGGGCCAAAAATGCTGTCCAAGTCATTGATTGATGGTAGTTTTTCAATTTTGACCTCTGTGGCTGACTGGTCATTTCCTGTGGTTAAAGTAGTTGATTTTTAACTTTAATTGACTTGGTGAATATTATTTGTATGGGGCGGGGGCGGGAGGGGTGAGGCAAAGCATGGTAAACAGATTGCCCTGCAAGGTGTGAAAATAACCCGGATCAGAGCTGAAGGCGAGGAGAGCATTCCCTGCCTCCATAACGTGAGCATCACTTTTTTAGATTGTGGTTTTACCCTTTCTGCTGGGTGACCCCAGGTAGCTATTTTTACCACCTTTGGGCGCTGAGCGCTCTACCGCTTTCAAAGGCTGCTCACAAGAGTGCGAAGGGTGATCCCTTTGAAAAGGCTGCACTCGGAAAAGGTTCACAGAGTTCAGGCTCTGGAACTGCAATTCCGAAAGGGAGGTCCCTTCAGAAAGTCTAGCCTATAGTCAAACACCGTAGAAAAATAATTGACAGCTGAGAATCACCCTCATATTTGATAAAGACTGTCTGTTCCAGCTTATTAAAATGTGTGCTGAAACTAAGAATATCTGTTAGTTTAAAAAAATTATTGTGCCAAAATCAGCTGTACATCCTCTGCCTTAAAAACACCAGAAACACAATACAAAGGTCATTTAAAGAAATATCCTCACACGTATATTTACAAACACACACATACATCCCACATTCAACACACACAGGTTATTGAGAAGACATCTACTACTTATCAGAACTGTTACCTGTATAGGTATTTAATAGGGAGGAAAACTGTCAAAACATCTTGATCATTTCTTTTCCCATCAAGTTTAAGCTGTGAACATGTAGGTATAACTGTGATCTACATCTATTTGGAGTCATGAAACAGAAAAGTCTTGGTTTTGCTACCACATCAGCTTCAGCTCTTCTCTTTAATTCTTATCAGTGATAAGAGACAAAAATTCAAAACTATCTTCTACACTTGGCAGGAAATGCTTGAAAGCAACTGCAACGTGAAGCAGTACACTTTTTACCCACTGAGGTTATCGAAATTAGAAGCTGTTCCCTGAGTGATTGCAAAGCATGAGCTGAAGCATCTTTAAATAACTCATTGGTTCTAAGAACTGGCTTGGTTCTTCCATATTTCACGATAGAAAAGACTTAACCTTCAGAGCTCCAAGGCTACAGATAAATGGGGTAGCAGGTTGCATGCCCCACACTATTTATAATATTGTCGCTGGTAGATTTATTTATACCTAACGTATTTATGGGAATACAAGGAGCCAAAATGATTTGAACTTGCAAACACCTTTACCTATGACTCTCCGGATGACTCTTCGCTGGGTTTTAATCAATATAAATTTCAAAAATAACTATGCCTTGCACTTGGTCTTGTAGATAAATACCTACCCTGTAGCTATCAAACTCACCAGTCTGCAAAAATAGCAAAGGACAAAGCAACAATAGCATTCCAAAGGGGATAAGGAACCATATTCGAAGGGCCCAGACACATCACATAGCAATTACTGCTTTTGACTTCCTGGCCCAGGAGGACAAGGTAGATTATAAATTGCATGAGTATGTAATATTGATTTTAATAGAAGGTAAAGAGATGCCTTAGAAAAGGTCTGTCTAAAGACATGTGGCAATTCTTTGCCATATTTCATTATCCTTACACTAGCTCTTTGCCACAGGATGATAATGATTCCTGGGGGGAAAAAATTCCCCACCTCCCAAGCTTACCCATAGACTGTACATCCTGGGAACCATTCTATGTCTTTGTAGCTTAGGCAGTTTTAATTCTAGAAAAACAATGATTGGCTCTTGGGAAAAATATGAATTGTGCCTTGAGATTTTTAATTTGTAAATCATTAACGTGAGATCCAACAAAGTGAAATGTCAATTGGACGAAGACTTGGGATATTGAGATTTTCTTTTTCTTTCATCTCACAAGTAAATGTGGCCTTCATTCAACAAAATGATACCGAGGAAAAATGAGTTGAGAAAGAGAACCTTTTTGTGAAACCAGAGAGTGATACTTTAAAATAAGTCTGCATGGTAAATTGTCATGGAAGGAAAGCCCAGTGCAAACATTTTCATCCTGGAGTCTCTACGGCTCCTGACACGTCCAGGGCAGGTTGAAGTCCAGGGCCACTGCTGATTGCTGTTATCCTCCCAGCACCAAACAAACTGAAACTTACCGGGTGCAACTGTGAGCGGGGAGCCTGTTCGGGGTGGGGTGGCTGGTACATTTTTGGGAGGCAGTGGTGGAGGTGCTGCAAAGACATGAGAAACCAAGCATCAATGATCACTTTCTCCGTAAGTTACAAATCTGTAGGTAAGCAGGATTTGGGTTTTCATTCATATCCCTGCCATTGGAAATGTTATAACCATTAGTGGTCTAACTGTTTCTCAGTTCAGGGCTAAGAAACGGAAGCAAGACCCATTCAGATTCTTCCTTTTTTTTTTTTTTTTTTTTAGGATCAGTTTATCCTATTTATTTTTTATTTTTTAGTTTATCCTATTTATTTTTTTTAATTTTTAATTTTTTAAATTTCTTTTCAGTGTACCAGAATTTTTTGTTTATGCACCACACCCATTGCTCCATGCAATACGTGCCCTCCATAATACCCACCACCAGGATCCTCCAACTTCCCACCCCCAACCCCTTCAAAACCTTCAGATTGTTTTTCAGAGTCCACAGTCTCTCATGGTTTGTCTCCCCCTCCAATTTCCCCCAACTTCCTTCTCCTCTCCGTCTCCCCATGCCCTCTGTGTTATTCCTTATGCTCCACAAATAAGTGAACCCATATGATGATTGACTATCTCTGCTTGACTTATTTCACTCAGCATAATCTCTTCCAGTCCCATCCATGTTGATACAAAAGTTGGGTATTCATCCTTTCTGATGGAGTCATAAAACAGATTCTTCCAGTTTATGATGAAAAGAATCTGTCAAAAGGATGTCAGATGATAACGATACTAATGTCATTTTATTCATTCATCCCTTTATTTGACAAACTTCAAGCACCAGCAAAGTTTTGTATTGTACTAGGAACTGGGGGCACGGGGCTGAACAAAAGAAACCTCTGTAGGTCAAGGAATTTATGACTGAATGGATGAATACCACGTTTACAGATGATCACAAGCCAGGGTATGGTGAAGGGAATGAGAATGCCTTGATGGAGGCTTGGGTGAGGGTTTTTGTTTTTTTTTTTTTTACTTAACATATAAGGTATTATTTGTTTCAGGGGTACAGGTCTGTGATTCATCAGTTTTACACAATTCACAACACTCACCATATTGGGTGAGGGGGTTTTAATATAGTCAGGATAATATTGCCTAGATTGAGTCTGGAAAGATGTCTTAAAGTTATACATCTTAACTTTTAGTATTTTTTTTTTTTTTTGACATACAGAGATCACAAGTAGACAGAGAGGCAGGCAGAGAGAGAGGAGGAAGTAGGCTCCCCGCTGAGCAGAGAGCCCGACGCGGGGCTCGATCCCAGGACCATGACCTGAGGCTTTAACCTCAAGGCAGAGGCTTTAACCCACTGAGCCACCCAGGCACCCCTACTTTTAGTATATTTTTAAAAGTTGAAGCAGTATCATTGGGAGCAAGAAAGAATACACAGATTCCCTTGGTAAAAATGATGGTGAACCAAACCCCTCAAGATAGAAAAAGTACTGTCTTATGGCCCCAGCCCAGAGACTCAGCCTTCTGAACTGGACTTGTCATTTTGTAGGCAAAGTTAGGGATTCTGGGGCACCTGGGTGGCTCAGTGGGTTAAACCTCTGCCTTTGGCTCAGGTCATGGTCTGAGGGTCCTGGGATCGAGCCCCGCATCAGGATCTCTAATCAGTGGGGAGCCTGCTTTCTCCTCTCTCTCTCTGCCTGCCTCTCTGACTTCTTGTGATCTGTCAAATAAATAAAAATCTTTAAAAAAAAATTAGGGATTCCTGTTTCAACAGGTACATTTTTTTTTTCTTACTCTCTCTTTAAATGCATGCTTTTCTGTCACTGGCTACATTTGGTAGATTCAAAGAGTTCACACTGATCTCATAAACTAGACTCAAGTTCGTCTGTGAATTGTGAATCTTGTCCAGTCTTCCATGACCTAAAAGCAGAGCGTGTCAGCTGGGCCCTGGCCGGAGAGAGCATGGCAGTACCCTTTGCCTGCTTGCACTGGGAAGAGCTCCTTCCTGTCACTCCACCCCCACCTGACTTCATTTAATTTTAGAGACCATCCTGTCTTTCTACATGACAGGCGTGACTGACAGCATCATCCTAAAGCATAGAAATGTGTGGTTCCTAATCTTAGGTTAGGAGCTTCTGAAACTACACCTCAATGGATCATGTTTTTCCGTAGAAGTTAGGAGTCCATCAGGGGCTCTGTTTTGACTAAGCTTCTCCCCGAAAATTGAGGTCATAATCAACAAAAACATAAAACACCGTAAGACCCTAACAATTTAAAATAGCAAACTTATGCTGCAAGCACGAAATGAGCAAAAGTGTACAATACACATCGATTATAGAACAGCTGTACTAAGTGTAACAACACCTCATAAAAATCAGAAAACTCGAAAATGCCAATAATGGCTCTTAAAATCAATACCTCATCTAGGTAAACATTTCATTTATGGACTTTCCTGGCATCTAGGGCGGGTTTTCTAGGAATAAGCTGGATGGCTCAGGTCTCTAAAGAAAGCTTTTCAAGGAAGTTAAAGCATTTTCACTGGATTTATTTCCCAGTGGTAGAGAGAAACATTCAAAATCACAGCACTGGGGTTCGAATGCTTTCAAAGCACATCTTTAAAAGTTCAGATGTTTAAAATAGCTATTGGTGATGCTGTTTTTCCTATCCTGTTTTATGAGAGAAATATCTTTGCAAAGACCCAATCACATGGTTTTATAGCAGTATCTCCAGCAAACAACCTCTCGGGCCTTTGATCATAAATCCCCTTGGTTAATTCCAGTGATTATTTGTAGGCCTCATAAAGCAGAACCCTGGGCATGCTGAACTGGAAAAGTATTAATTGGTATGGATGTGAGCTTCACAAAATGAAAATACCCTCTGCATCCCACCATCCCTCCCAACTCCTTTCTCTGAGACCGAGTCTTCCTCCCATGGGCATTTTAAGGAGTGCTTTTTCAAGCACACATGCTATGGGAAGTCCACTGAAATGAGAACTCAAGAAATCCATCAAACAGGTGGCTTGACCAGAGGAGCAATCCATTCAAGGCCAAACAGCCCAACCCGCTACAGATGAAGGGCCATCAACACCTTCAGGAGGAAGTGGGGAGCATCCTGGAATGGCAGTGCTCATGATCCCTGGTTTGAGACAAGTTTGTCCTGACCTCCTGTCTCAGCTTCCCACCAAATAGCATCATTTCTTTTGCTCTCCAATTATCCCTCTTTCATCTCAGTGGGTCCTTTCTGTCCCATGCACCCTCCTTGTCCTATAGCACTCTCAGAGGCCATCTGATTTGTTCACTTCTGTGTTGTGTGATTGGTTGGTAGCTGGAGCACTGTAAGTTTCTTTACCTTCCTTGCTTCTCCCTCTTATATATGCACCTTGAATGAATGAAGGAACAATGTGTCCATGGGATGTCAGAAGACACAATGATTCAAAGTTAATAATTTTACTTTTTTTTTTTTAAGATTTTATTTATTTGACAGAGAGAGATCACAAGTAGAGAGAGAGAGAGAGAGAGAGAGGGAGGAAGCAGGCTTCCTACCTAGCAGAGAGCCCGATGTGGGACTCGATCCCAGGACCCTGAGATCATGACCTGAGCTGAAGGCAGAGGCTTAACCCACTGAGCCACCCAGGCAGCCCAATAATTTTACTTTAATATATTATTCTTGCCTTGACAAACTGCCCTAGGCCCTTTAACTCTGAAGCTTATTAGAATCACATCTTTTTTTAATATTATATAATACAAACGTTGCTTACGTACTTTCTACAAGTTGCCTAATTTCACCATGCAGACAGACAGTAAAATGAGTCACTTATTTTTCCAGACAGAGCAGACACATAACTTACTTCCAGTGGGAAAAGGCCTTGTTAACTTTGGCGACTCGATGCTTGGATTAATTGGTTGGCCTGAACCCCATATCTCAGGCTGATCTAAAAGAACTGGAAACATAAAAAGAAAATTTCCCAGGGTGAGATTAAAAAAAAAAAAGTTCCTGGAATTTAAAACGTAAAGTTTCAATTTAAAGTTGAGCTTTGCAAAATTATCTCCCACTTGCCTCAGTCCTAGCAAAGTAATTTAGCAGTGGGCTGCTCCTTGTGCTTTTCAAGCGAAGAATGCAAATGGCAGTGGAGTGCGTGTGTGTGTGTGTGTGTGTGTGTGTGTGTGTGTGTGGTGATGGTGGGGATGTCTGTGTGCGCACACATAGCTAAATAAAAATTTTCGAAATACAGCATCTGTATTTTCTTCTTGGTTGGTCACTTAAGGACTTTCTGAATGGCAGAACATGGACTGGCCCTATTTCTGGTGCCCATTTGAAGGTTCAGGCATTAATCCCACGGACGGTCATTTCAAGTTGGTTTATTTAAAGTTTGGTGTGAATATCCTTCAAAAATGAGAACTCCTGGGTTCTGTAGAGTGGTTTGTATCTTTACAGGATCATATAGGGTCTTTAAATAAGCGTTTCCATAATCATAAAGAGAAACATTATTCTAAAAATGTTCAGTAAATATCTTAAGAGAACCAGAAAAATAAACAAGGGCTTCGACACCCAAAGTAAAATCAGAGAAATTAAGGCCTATGGGCCTAATGACATTGAACTTAATTTGTTTTTATTTCTTCTGTCTCCTTGTTTTGATTTTTTTTAAAAGATTTTATTTATTTATTTGACAGATAGAGATCACAAGTAGGCAGCGAGGCAGGCAGAGAGAGAGAGGAGGAAGCAGGCTCCCCGCTGAGCAGAAAGCCCGATGTGGGGCTCGATCCCAGGACGCTGGGATCATGACCTAAGCCGAAGGCAGAGGCCTTAACCCACTGAGCAACCCAGGCGCCCCTTGTTTTGATTTTTTAAATTGCTATGGTAACCATGTAAACAACCAGGTCTTCTCTGCACGTATCCTGTGCCAGGATATATGTAGGCACTGCGTGTAATTCATTATGTGCTAAATTACAGGCTGGGAAATTAGTGGGATGTGGATTTGAATCCAGTCTCTGCAGCTAGACTGTAGGGCCTTGGGCCAGTTGTTGCACCTCTGACCTTCCCTTCCTTCAGTGTAGAGATAATAAGAGCAATCGGAAAGTTACTAAAAAGGATCACAGGAGATAATACATATAAATACAATGTATACAAACTCCATATAACACACTTATCCCAAGGCCAGTAGCTATTATTAGATATTCTAATCTGCACACCACCACCCGGTGGTGGTTGATGTTCGTACCATTTTCAGCAGAGGAAGCAAAAATTAAAATGATTAAATAATGTGCCCAAGATCTACCTTGTGAGGTAGAGGAGCCAAGATCTGATCCTGGGCATGCACACTTGACTCCAAAATACATATTTCCTCCCCAGACCTTTTATTTTTTTTTTTTTTTAAATGTTTCCCTCCAGGCCTTTTTAAATTAGTGATGTGAGAATCAATAAAAAGAAGTGAGAGCGAGTAGATCCGAAAGGTGAGTGTGGATATTGAGCGAGCTAGTGTACTTGGTGCAAATGTTGAAACTTTATAGAACTTTGGGGGATGAGACCGCCTCAAGACAAAGCAAGCCAGGCCCACAGATAAGTTCAAGTGTGTATCTCCTGTCCATCACAAACCCAAAGACGGTCTTAGTTCTGCTCTGTTTTAACATGAAAGCAAATATTATCCAAAGATGTGATTTGATCATGGAGTTGATGTGGGACACCACCTTGATTTTTTTAAGAATGTTTTTTATTTTGTAAATCCAGTTTCCATACAGTCATGGATTCCTTTAATAGGTAGATTCAACATACAGAGTCAACAAATCAAATCCCACCTTTAGTCACTACACAATTTAGTCATTAAAATAACAAAACTGATCATAGTTGAGTTAATAAGACAACCGATAGCCTCATTGCAAGGCCACCTCGACTTAGGGATTCTAAGTTGTAGACATTCAAATCCCTGAAGGAGTAATTTAGGGATGTTCCTGATACGTTTTCCTAACTAAGTTATTGAAAAATGTTTTGATGTGGTTGACTGCTAGCTCTTTTCCAGTATCCATTCTCCATTTTTCTGCTATTAAAAAGTTCTGTCTGGCCATATGGCACTGAATTCTCTCTGACTGAATCTAGTCAAAGTGATGTATGTCTCTCCCAGAGCTGCTCTCACAGGGGTTGGCAGTGAGTATACTGGTCTTCCATTCCCCCCCACCGGCTCCCAACTTTATTCTGACTGGGAGATGATGAGAGCTGGATCAGCTCCTTTGGACCCAGAGACAAAGGCCACATGTTAAGAATAGCAGACCCATCCTACCAGTCCTATATTGTTTAATTGAGATTGTTGACATAAAACACAAATAAAATTCTATATTGTTTAAGTCCCTGTACTTTGGAGTCTTTTTGCTTCTGTAGCTTAGTCTACTCATTATGCTTTCAAGTCCTGTTGCCTTTAACAGTTAAATTTGATTTCTTTGCCCAACAGTATAAAAAATAACATTTATAATACATAAGCCATTGTGTTTTCAGATCAAATGATATTACCACACACCAGAGATACATGTACTGGACGTAAATACACTTCAGGAATAAATTAGATCCCTTTTATAAAAAGCTTCATTTATGTCAGCAAGATATACATTATTTATAGCCATCCCAAAAAGATGGTTAATTTTAAAAAGTTAAATATTTAATTCTAGGAGTAAATATTTAGTAGGTAAACCCAGTAATAATGGCCGAATTGATTTTTTTCCCACAACATTACTGGTAAGTTGCTCAACGATTCAAGGTCATTTTTGGGTCTTGAGCCTGCAAACAAGTCTGTTGTGAGCAACCCAACTGACACCTCCGCTGACCAGGTGGAGAACAGAGTAAATGTGGTCAGGGAGGTGAGGTCACGGTGACAGTGACTCTGCCAGGGAGTGTGAAGGTCTGGATCTACCATGATGACCGTCTGGCTCACAGAGCACTTACTCCCTGACTTATTCCCAGTGATCTGTATCCATTTGCAGTAATTCTTACTGACCACTTTTGAGAAGTGAACTTGTGAGCTACTTGATATTTCCGGAAGTAAAATTTCACATCCTAAAATACTGAAGGTTTGCAAATGATGCTCTTGTTCCAACAACATGCCCTAGATCAGAACTTTTCTTTCCTATGAGGATCTGATGGTACATGGCTCAAAACACATACCTTTATTCTAGGCAAATTATACTTTAATGAAAAAAAATATAGAGAGATACACATTTTTTTTTTTTTACCTTCTGTCTTCTGTTCATCAAAAGCTGATTCTAATGGTGGACCAAAGAGGGGAGCAAGGGCCACCGTGTCATCTGTAGGCTTTTTGCTAAATCACATAGATTAAAACAAAACAGAGAGAAAGGGAATATTAATGCTAAAAAGATATACAAGCTTTCAAATATTTTTCATGGTGAGGCAGATAGACATGTGTGTACTTGTGTACATATGCAGGCATGTACGCAGGCCCCCATGGGGCTAGAAAGTATACATAAGAATGTCAAATGTATTATGGACCAAGAGAATCGCTAGGAGATAAGATCCCTGGTTCTCAATGGGAGACTAAAGAAATGGTCTAGTAGAAATGAGTTGAAAAAGAAAAACTCTTTCAAATCATCATGATTCTCTATACCTAGAAGAGATAATACTAGAGATAACAGTTTGTTGCAAAGCACCTTAGTCTCTTCAGATCTCAAGAACCATTTACATTTGTCCTTATCACATCTCTGTATTGCAGTTAATGCCCTTGGTGATTAGTGAAAGTCAGGTATAGGGAGGTTAAATGACAAGCCACCCAGGAAGTTTGTGTTTGAATCAGAAGAAACTAGGTCTACTAGTTTCTAATTTCCATCCTGTCTCCCCAACCAACACACACAATAGATTAGCTGTAATCCCCTAATACCTTAAACACAGGCTATTCCGGAAAAAGAAGAACATTGAGAAATCAAGGGGAAAGGAGGGAATAAGTTAAAATCTTACCCTTCCTCCCAATCATTACTTAAACTGATTATCAACAAAAGGCTGCATAATCTTCACTTCTTCCCAGACCTGATCCCCCTCATTGATCCAGATGAGTTCTCTCTCTGTGTGTGTGTGTGTGTGTGTGTGTGTGTGTGTGTGTAGTAGGAGTTAAGAGGTTGAAGAAGGAGTGGGGCTGGAGAGGGAGACAAAATGAAAAAGATCCAACTTTTAAATAGAAATAGTAGTCTTTCTGGAAAACAATCCCCTTTTGTACAATATTAACCCAAAGAACACACGGTGCAAAATACAATGCTTTGCCAAAGACAAAAAAACAAAATAGAAGATTCTTTTGGTGTATGACAGGTGCAATGTATCATGAAATTGAAGCCAACTGAACAGATTATTCTTCATAGGGCAATACAATCATGTACCGCAAACACCAAAAGACCTCTTCGCACAAACTCCAACCCTCCCATCAGTGAGGGACCTGCACATGTCTGATAGTCACTCTAGGTGATTACACAGTACTTCCCCCTATGGATCTCCCTCCAGCTGCACTTGTGAGAAATGGTAACATACCTGAACCATGCTATGGACTTAACATATGAGCAGAGCCTTTATTAACAGAAGTTGAGATTTCAGCCTAAAGGAGATTTGCTGAATTATTAACAAGGAATGCATGCATGATGCCTTCCAGGAAACACAATTAAAGCCTTCCGTGCTCACCTTACAAGTTCTGGCGTTGGTGTGGAACGCCTGGGTCTCGCCACTTCTTCACCTGATGTACAGGACAAAGAAAGCTTTTAGGCATACTCTTACTATTTCTTTCTTCTATGTCTTATGAGCTATGTTTGGAAACACTTAGAGATTTAAGTTCCATCAATAACCAACTCAATATGAAAATTTTGCAAAACAAACCCTCTACCCGGGCAATGTAACAGCCACATATCAAACATATGTAGTACCATTTTATCTGGCATTTGTAAAGCCTAATTAACCAAGGATTTACCATGATAAGCTGTCAAACAGAAGAGCTGGATATTGCAGAGTTTACCCGAGTAGCCTACCATTCTTCGAATGTCTGCCGCCTCGAGCAATTCCGCTTTCCAATTACCATAAGAGAATACTAAGCCAGGCCATATGTACATAGTACAGGAATCCAGCATTCTTTGCCTGTTCTTTTCTTGAAATGCCAAGAAAATGTTATATGAATTTAGAATTTGCTAGCATGTGCTATATGCAGCAGAGGAAAATCATGCCCTACATAAATTATAACCTGTATCATATCACTTTGGTTGACTATAATTTTTATATCTGATAACATTAGGAATGGATTAGTTGCATCTATCTTCAGGCCCTTCTGCCCTTCTCCTCTCCCCATCCCCTCAACAAACACACACTTGATTAAGTTTATTTGTAAAGGCAAATGATACAGCAAGAATTGACAAATATAGGAAGAAGATAGCAATGTTTTTCCAGAAACATATCCATTTTTAGAATTTAAATATTAATCACTCAGAACCCACGAGGCTCCTTTATCATTACAAAATTTCTTTGCTGTAAAAGTAAAGCATTCATGAGCCTTAAAAATCAAACCCAAGAGTGTATAATGCAAATATATATACATATGCTCCAAGATCCAAGGAACTATTTCTCCTTTTAAATTTTATTCTATTTCTGGTAGCTAGGATATACTTACTGGATAAGTTCCTTTTAATTGCACCCTAGAATTAGAAATAGACACTATAAGGTTTAAGACCACATATATGTTATGTACAATATGTATATTTCTGTCATTGCAATTCAACTGAACTCAGAAATGCAGATGGGGAAAAATGAAATTTTTCTCAGAATTGCATTCAAGTTGGAAACTGTAGACACACACATATAAATCAGTTTTTCACTTTACTCAAGGATTATAGAGATAAAGGGAGGGTAAATCATAAGTCTCCTGAACCAGAAAAACCCCTTACCTGGGTAGATTGGGCAAATTAAGCAAACACTGAATAGTCTATTAAAAAATAAAACCAAACTTGAAGTCTATCAGAGAAATAAATCCAAGATTAATATATGTTTGATGTTTGAAAATAATAGAATGTATTAGGAGTATTTTCTGCTTTTATCAGGGTAGGGGTAGTCCATGAATTGTTAGTAAAAATAGTCATTATTTTACTAATGTAATTTGTAAAGATCTACTCAACAAGTGTTAAAGGGAAGGAAAACTTGTGGAGGCATGGCCCCTGGATATTCTGCTGTAATCAGGGGCCAGGGAATTCCATTCTTTCCAGCTGCTCTCCCCACCCCAATTTTTTCCACCTGCCTGCCACAGGGCCCACCTCTCTGCCACCTGGAAGTCATTCCTTTAGATCAAGGCATTGTGATACTGTAGGAATACAAACAGCCCTGACAGGAATAATTTGAAAAGGTCATGCCTTGCTCTTATAATACCCCAGCAGAAATTTCACATTTCCATCACATTTCCATCACGGAAAGATCGAATAGAAAAAAAATCTGATTCAAAACTGCTCTGAAATCTTCTAAGCATGGGATGCTGGCAGAAAAGGAGAGCCCTAGACAAAGAGCATCATGGGGTAGGACATGACTGGAGAGGGCTTGCCTTAGGAGAATGGTGGGGGCTGGTGCTGGGGGTGGGAAAGGGCAAGTATTGGAAAGTATTCCATAGGGTGTGCCCAGGTCACACCCTATGGTGGCTGGTCACAGGTAGGTTCTCTTCTCTCACTTGATAACATTAACAACACAGGATCAGACGTAGAGACTCTGTAACAGACTTGGAAGAAACTTATCTTCTTTCCTAGGACTTATTAGAATTTTCTGTCTCATTTTGAGCTCATTTAACAATAGAGGGGCAGTTTCAATCTGAGCAAGAATTCACTAGATGCTTTCTAGTGAATGGCTCAATTTTTCAAACTGTATTTTCCACTTGTCTTGCCTAATAACACGATCTGCGTATCTGTGCCATTATAGAGAATTATTCCATTATTAGAAAAGATTTTTTAAATAGATATTTATTTTATTTACTTTAATGAATAAACATTTTAAATTCATATGTTTACACTAACATGTTTATTTAAACTAATAAGCATTTAAATTAAATATAGTCATTTAAATCGGCTACAGTCATTAGTACGGGAGTTTGGATACAGGTTGGCTTTTAGAAGATAAGGCTCTATAGACAAAAATAAGAGATCAAATCATCTAAATGAATTAAAATGTTTTTCTTGGTTTCAGAGCCTCAGATGGTCAGATTTTCTTATGGGTGTGTAATAAAGATACTGGGGCTTCTACTGGGTCATCAATGAGGGAACCAGATTCATCTAGAATTACGAGACCTGAAATCCAAGAGATAGGGGACCCCAGAGGTGTTATCAAAGATCTTTCAGCTCCCTATCTTACCCTTTTTATTAAAAATGTAATGCGTATGAAACCAAAGAAGGTACAAGGCTTCTTTTGTACTCAGTGGTTCCAGGTGTATTCATGCATTCAGTAGCTGCTTATTGTGGAGAGGATCTAAGCAAGAAGGCCGAGTAATATTCTTATTAAATACTCCTCATAAATAAACAATCACCAGTTAAGTGCAAGCAAGGTATGGCAAGAAAACTCTGTTGTTGAGACCTTAGGAAGAATAAAATAATATCACTTTAGAAAGGAACAAATAATGGGAATGCTCAGCAACAAGTCAGAGGCAACAGACAAGAACATCGCCACGGTCCGCTGGGTCACGCACGCAGCTCTCTGGCGGCCTGGAGCAGCAGCGAGGCAAGTCTAGAACAAGATTAAGGTTATGTCGACCACACAAACCACAGTCAGGAAAAAGCCCATTGAATTAAAAAGTCGTCTCCTTTCCAAAGGACCACATTTTCCTCTTTTCAGTGATTGTGCTTACATGTATGTTGTGAATAAATCACCTTCATTTTGAATTAATTTCCTCTTTTTCCTTTAAAAAAAAAAAGAAGAAGAAGAACTTGTCATAATCTGAAATGTTGCTATATGCTGGGGAGGAGTCATTCACACCCAAACAGCAGTCCCTGGGCTTGTTGCCTTTGATCATTGGCTACATGGTGGAAACAGAGAACCACCAGCTTTACCAGCTGGGGCAGACTAGTGGCCTCACATAATGATTATTCAAATTGGCATAGGCCCATGGAGGCCGTTTCCAAGGGCATTGTTTTCAGTCCCATTTCCCTGTCACAGAGGGGGTCATTTCAAACATAGCAAAGACCTTTCTCTTTTTGTTGCTTTAAATTCATCAGACTCTTCACCCTGGGAAAAATGGCCAATTTCACTTGGAGCAATGCAAACTCATAGTGATCCGACTTCGGTGGTGAAATAATAGATTTATGTGACAGCGAGGAGTGTTGACCTGAAAACATCTCTCTTCCTCCCAAGATGAAAATTATGATTATATATTATTATGTAATATCAGTATATCAGTATACTAACCAAGGTAAATTGTGGTCCAGGAACTTGTTTTAAATTCGGGCTTAAAACAACGTGGCTTAAAAATTGTTTCCTTACTTTCCTTATAGTTTTCTTAGTCTTTAGAATCATTTTGCTATAAACTTCTATGTGCTTTCTGGCCAGTCTCCATGCCTTGCATACACACACATACACAACCCCCCACACACATTTTTCAAATTTGGCACTAGGGGTGGGGTGTCTATGTATTAATTTAGTTTATTGTGGAAAAGTGTTCTGATAATTCTAAAATATGCTCTTGATGCTTATAGGACCAGAGGCTTCCAGCCAGTAAACATAACTTATCGGCTTCATTCATAGTGAGTTATCATAAATTTAATGGGAAGCCAAACCTGGCCACCTTGCCCTGGCAACAATTTTCTCTATACACGTTCAAGGTAAAAATGTTGAGAGTTCTTACCGGGCTGCGCCTCTGTGATCAGCAAAAAGGAAGAGAGAACAGATACCTAGTCAGAGAATGATGGATCAGTCAACAGGCTTTGGGTAATAGAGGACTTCATAAACAGCCAACCAAACATACACTCCAAGTAACCAGGCCAAAGGAAAACAGGCAGTCATCATGCCTGTGGCTTATTAAACCATAAGGAGGTTTGGAGAACCTTAAAAGAAGCTCTCTGTGGTATAATGTAGCTTCGCTAGTGGGGCATACCATTTCAGTGATGGGCGTGCAAGAATGAGAAAGAAACATCCAAGAAAACTTCACTGACAATTTTTCACGTTTTGTCATAAGGAGTTTCTCTCCAGATTATTTGTAGAGGAGGTTTTAGAGACTAGGTATGACAGAGAAAAGTACATTTCCACACACGACGGGGTGTTGGCAAATGCCATAGGCATAATTCATTTCCTACATGATTTGGACTAAATTGGAGCACCCCCAAATCAGAGAGCAGGGGTAGAAAGACCTCTTCTCTGCCTGGCTCTTCTCTTTGGTGTACTAAGGAACGAATGCTGATCAGGACTTTTATTTGGGACCTATTTGTTCTTGGCCTGGTGATTTGGGCAGCCTCTACCAAAGGTAGGGCTGTGATGGGAAAGGCCAGGAGCCCCTAACAAGGACAGATGGCAACAATGCAAAGTGCCCAGCATCAGTAGAACAGTGGTGAGCAGGCGATGTCTGGAATAACACAAGGAGCAGACATAGGACTTCTCTCTTTCACTTCTCACACCTGCTATGACTGCTATTGGACCCCAACAACCTCTGGTTACTCTCCCTCCCTCTTCAGAATTTTTCTTCAGTAACAATAGTGGCTATTTTGTGAGTGGGGAAAGAGACGTTGCTTCAAGTTTTGCTTTCAAAATATGGGCGACCCCATGAAGATACTAAAGGCTACCTGAGACCCAGTATTGCCCAAATCCCTAAACCCAGGCCAGGAGCACAAACATGTGTATCTAGAAGGTTGCTCAAATGAAAAGGACTGTTCTACTCTAGGACCAGACAGGAAACAAACCTCTGGTGTTTTATACCTGGGAGGCCTCCATGCATATCAGGTACAATGGTCTATTGATAAAGAGGGGGAATTGAGTCTCTAAGATCCACAGCTAGTGAATGGGTTGAACTAGACATAGAGTTTAGATCTCTCATCTCATTCTTACATTATATTGTTGGAGGGCTCCTAAAGCAGAGAACCATGAATGGTTACTTCCTGTTTTAAATGTTTTGTAACAGAACTCATTATTTTAGAAATAAATCTTGTCAATTTTATTTCTAATATTTTAGAGTTTCTCATTTGCCTGATTTTCCAGGTTCTACTCTATGTTGTCCCCACCTTTCTTATACATTTGTTGGTATCTGTGGATGTAATTTATATAAAATCAGAGAAAAAACCATTTATGAATATATATTTCTGGGCTTGAGTTCTTTTACTAATTCATACTGTATTTTGAGAGGAATTCAGTATTTTATATGAAAATTTAGACTTTATAATTCTTTTAATGACCAGACTAAAATTCTTCTCTAAGAAGAAAATGTGGGAATTTGTGATTTTAGCTTCGATCTCACAACAAAAAATTCACTTTTAAAAGTAACAAACTACAGCAAAGAGAGGATTAAAGGTGACACAAATTTCTCTAAGATGAAATTATGAAAAGTAATGCTAAATAAAATGCACATCATACCCATACAGAGGTAGAACCTTATATTCAAAGAAAGTTCCTTAAGATTATAGAGAACACTTTTTAAAATAAATTAAGTCATATTAACTTACACAAATTAAGCCATATTTTAGTTTCCAATGAGTCAAAAACCTATATTTTAATTTTTAAAAATTTTTTATAAGTGTATTTTCTCTTCCTTGTGGTTTTCCATTTGTTTATTTATTTATTAACATAAAATGTATTATTTGCTTCAGGGGCACATGTCTGTGAATGAAACATCCGTCTTACACAATTCACAGCACTCACCATAGCGTCAACAGTTCCTGTTTGTATTTTTTTCTAGCAAAAGACAACATCATAAGATAGCATTTGGCTTGCTGGAGGTAGGTGATGGGAGGAGGGGTTAAATGAGTGATGGGCATTGAGGAGGGCACCTACTGGGATGAAACTGAGTGTTAGATATAAGTGTTGAATCACTAAATTCTACTCCTGAAACCAATACTAGACTGTATGTTAACTAACTTGAGTTTAAAAAAAAAAAAAAGCATTTTGTAAACTCCACTTGGAAAATGCCTTTATCTGGGAAAAACTGTTCAAATTCATGTAGTCACAAGCATAAATAGAGAAGGACCAGCTAGAAGCTGTGGAGAGGTCAGACCTAGGAAGCCTCAAAGCCCATAATTAAGAGCTATTTGAAACCCTCAAAAGAAAAAGAATTCTACACATCAGACTGAAGGGCTCCATATATGTTATTTACCACCAGTAAGGTGCATAAAACACCTGTAGGCTCTGCTGAACAACAATTTTGACAGCAAACTCTGTGAACTGGAGAGGAGGGCCTTTGCCTGTTTTTTATTTTACTCCCTCTCCTCTCATTTTCCAAGATCTTTGAAGCCTTTAGTGTTTTATCTTTGTTCTACCAATATATAGAATTTGCTTCAAAGGTAGAAGAAAAGTCATTTGTATCCAGTCTTGGTATATTCTGGTTTAGATTTTTTTTTTCTTTTTTTTTAAGAGAGAGAGAGAGAGAAAGTGAGAGAGCTTGTGGTGCAGGGCCGGGGAGGGGAAGAGGGAAAAGGGAGAGAGAGAATCTCAAGCAGGCTCTAGGTCCATCATGGAGCCGCCGGTGGAGCTCAGTCTCACAATCCTGAGGTCAAATTTTGGGACCTGAGGCCAAATCAAGTATCAGACCCTTCACTGACTGAGCTACCCAGGCAAACCCTGGTCTTGATGTATTCTGTAAGCCAAACACTACATGTTGAATGGCAGACTCAGATGAGTACAGGGCAAGGAGAGGGGTGCCATTGGTAAGGCCATGTCTTCACGAAGCTCTGGAGAATTCACCACGACTCAGGTGCTCCCATGCCTTGCTGGCAAAACTCTGGGCCTAGTGCTGCCAGATCTTCAAAGTTGTTGAGAGAGAAGAAGCACATCCTGATTTTTTTTTTTTTTAATTTCAAACATTCTGGTTTTAATTTTAAATGGGGCTAACGTTGTTTTTAACTGCACAAGCAAACAAAACACTTACTCCGTTGTTCAGAATCTGCAGGTGGCCAATCTGTCTCTGATTGCAGGGATCTGTGTCACATATAATAAGCTCTCAGTAAATTTTATCTACTATTCTTATTACTTCATCTGATTACTCAAACAGGGACTTTGCAATCGGTCTATTCCCTTTCTGAACAAATCTCCTGTGTTTCTATTTAAATATTAATTGCTCAATTCCTAGATTTCTCTTAATCCTCGGATACATTCTGGAAAACGTTTTGGCAACATTTATTATTCCCCCATTTCTATTTTGATGTTCAAATAAGAGATAACTCTTACTTTGTATCTTGAGGTTATTTTCCAAAGTGGGTGTACATTAATAATTTATAGTTTGGTCACTAGAATGAAGATCTTGGGTTAGAACATATTGTATTTCTAGAACGTATATAATTTGCAAATATGCTTTCCTAAAATAGTATTTCAGCCTATGTCCTCATAGTTTCCTCAGTGTCCTTATTCCACACCAGTTTTGCTTTGTTATTTTTTGCACAAAAAGATTAATTTTAAGTCAGCCTACTAGAATACCTTAGTCTTAGCCAATGAGGGTAAGTGTTTTAAGATATTTATAAAAAGAAGTAACCAAACACAATCTGTCTTGCTCATCAAAATCACTAAGTCAGCCTCAGGTTTTGAAGTTTTACAAGATGCTAAATTCAGTGCTATGGGGAACAGGAGGAAAATGCGTGAAAAGCTACCAAGCACCAAACAAATATTTTTATATAGGCTAGTCATAGCAAATTCAGTGATTCATGTTAGAGAATTTTCTAGGAAAGAATTAGAATACGTGATCATTATGCATATTATTTTGATTCCAGCCCATCTTCTTACTTACTTTTTAATGCTGATGGGGAAGGCCAGCTATCAGGCAAGCCTTTATCCTCTACCCCCATCCCTTGTAGGTGTTTGTCTATATTTAAATTCATTCCTGTATCCATTACAAGTCAGACTACAGTGAATACCTATCATGTCCAATAGAACCTAGTTGAGAGGATCTTCTGAAACACCATTTGGGAAGAAAAAACAAAGACCTCGCTACTAACGAAGATAATCATTAAGACTCAACCAGACTGAGCAATCAACAAGAGGGACATTTCCAAAGGAAAATGAGGCCAGGGAGTGACAGGAGGACTCGTCCTTAAAAACACACAACTCAAAATGACAAGGATTACTTGCAGTTAAAATTGATGTAAGGACAACAGGGGAAAACCAATGAGGAAGCGAGCTTTTTTGATGAACCACGGGTTAACTTCAGGCCACCCAACTGAGTCAATTTTTGAAGTGGCCAAATCTGGATAATTCAGAGAAAGATTCAGAGTCAAGAATAAGGGCATTGGGCAAAATATAAAGAAAGGCTACTACAGCACACCAACCAAATTGTATGCCACGTAGCACGTGATACAATAGAGACTCTCAATTACTCAGAAGTGGCCATTCAGTTTAGTAGTAGCTGTGGTAGTAGTAGTAATAATAATAATAATAATAATAATATGTTTATTTTATTTTTAGAAACCAAAAGACTTGGGGTTTGTATTTTGATGTGTTTTAGTATTTTGATCCCATTTTTGTTCTTCTGTGTCTTCCACTTCTCCTCCCCCCATCACACAGACTTGCCATGGGTGGGGTAGCCTGCAGGTGGTACAGAGACTGCCAGGCTGGGGGCAATGCACGGGATGACATGTTAGAGCCCTTACTGCACCATCCACTTAGGTGAGTTAAGGGCAACCAACCACCAACCATTTCTCAGTGCTTGTTAACGTGGAAACACAGATTTCCATGATTTTCGGTGGAGAGGTTACCCGTGATAGCTGAGCATGGGCATGCTGGGAACATTTTCACAATATACCAGGTAACTGAGAATAGAACATTGAATTTTTTTTCCCAGTAGATCTATTTCATCGTTGTTAGAAAAAAAAAAAAAAGATGTAGGTACATCACAGCAGATTTGTGCCACCACTAAAAATCACCCACTGGTACTAAAAAGGAGTGTGGAAGAGTTGCTTTGCACTTTATAAAGATCCTCTTTCTCTGTCTCTTTGACAACTCCGGAAGCAGATATTTTTCTGATTAGCTGAAAAATAAAAGAAGGAAGACAACTTCCCTCTTCTAGGCCAGCTTCACAAGCCTTCGTTCACGGATGCTATCATGTTGGGCATTAAGCCAGAAATTAACTTAAAAGGTTTGCCTAGCTCATGGTATGTATATGTAGCTTGACCAATCCAAGGGGAAGCTGCAATAAATGAAACTTCATACCTAAAATATTTAATCATATGCCTGTGATGGAGGCAGAGGTGAATCTTCCCAAAATTACACCGTGGCTCTTCATAACAGACTTATAAAATCACTTAGCAACCGACTTCCTTTTTTCCCCATGGGGCATAATTAGACCTTGTCCTGGTTCACGAAGGTTTGTTTTTAAAATTGAAAATCCTGTTTAGGTGTTAAACACAGTCAGTTATTATGCAGATGATGAAAATGAATAGAAGTCACGTTTGGCCAAAATGTGGAAAGGACTTATCTCTTACCGGACTTTTCCTCTATAAAGCGTAGGCATGAAGAAGAAAAAGAAAATGAGAGAGGTGAAATGTATTTTCAGAGAAGAGATAAGGCTCAGAATAACCCTCCTCAAAGCACCTCTCAAGGCACTGCTCTTCTAATGGCTTTCTCTGGGCGTCTGATATAGTCATTCCCAGCTCATAGGCTTTAGCTTGAAGGGTGGCAGAACACGCACCCCAAAATCTGCTACTTCGCTATATTGATGATTTTTGAACTGCAAGCATTTGAAAACGGTAAATGCAAGGAGACTCTTTCTCTGATCAACCCTAATCTGCCCAGAGATATATTGAGAATTGTCATAAATCCCCTTCCCAGGAGTGTTATTGATCAGGGAACCCTGAGTCTTAGTGCAGGAGAGGAGACTGGAAGTCAATACCTCACCGGAACAAACCTGATCACACAATATTCTTCCCACCTATTTTTCCCAAAGATCAGCTGCTCTCCCTTCAGAGGCCTATGTCCCCTCCCTTCCCCTACATAGCAGTATTTAATTCAAGACTTTAAAGCCACCTCTTTAAGTTACTTTATTTTTCTGGGGTCTCCCACGTATACATGACATGTACATGCTACTACACTTCTGTGTGTTTTTCTCTAACCTGTCTTTTCATTAGAGCCCCAGCTGAACACCCAGGTGGGTAGAGATCACGTTGTGTCTCCCCTACAAGTTCAAGCTATAGAAGGCATTGGTGTAGCCTCCCTTGGAGACACTCTAAGCTCTCTTTTGAATGCTTTGCTTCTAGCAAATAGATTTGTGCCTTGAAAATAGAAAAATTTGCTTTGTGATATTGAAAGGGTTTGGAAGATGCCATTATTGCAATGCAGCTGAGCATGGTCATAAACCTAAAACATGAGACTTTCCAGTAGCTCCAACTTTGTCAGGGAACCCGGTACCTGTCATCTCCTCTCAGGATACCCTGGCTACAGTCACCAATTCTTCCATCCCACTCCCCATAAACAATAGCAAATTATTGTCCTGGTGAGTGGTCCCTGGCCCCTCGGAAAGCTCTTTTATTTCTTGAGCAAATGTCATGGTGAGGGCCTTATCCCTGGTTGAAAGCTGTGCTCCGTGAGCCTTTTGTGTACACTTCCTAGCTGATGGTCCCATTTCCACTTTCACCCCCTAAATTCATCCTCTGCACTACCTGAAGAATTATTTTTCAAAATAGTGAAGTGAATATATTACTGTGTCCTTAAAGAGCCTCCCAATATTTCAGAAAATAGAACACACGCTCCATTCTACGTCAGTTGTGCCTTCACGATGGGCTCTAACTTACCCTCACCCTTTATCTCCCACCCTCCCACCTCCCACCTGTAGGAAGCCCACACTTAACCGCAGAGGCTCCTGGCCATCTGAATGTTGAGTCCCCTCACTCACTTCCCTGCCTTCTGCTCAGGCTGCCTCTGTAGCCCTCAGTCACAAGTTTACTTATTCTTCGAGGCCGGGACCGTTTCTTCCATGAGGCCTTCTCCAAGTTCCCCATCCAGAATGGGTTGTTCCCTTTTCTTGTTTGATCACAGCACATTCCTTTTCTTCACAATAACCATGTATAATTAAAGGTCTGTTTGCCTGGCATTTATTAGCCTTGGGGAAAACAAAGCTCCACATTGCTAGCATATTCTTTGCAGTTCTTATTGTCCTGTGTCATTTAGGTGTCTCCCCTCCATTATTGCTCACAGTAATGGTCACGAATGGACTCTCTCTGGTCCCAAACACAGTGCTAGGGACACAGGAGGCATTCAAAGCAGGTTTAGCAATTCCCTTTTGGGGGGCCATTAAAACACTATAAAATGTTTGAAGCATCATGTCTTTTAAAATACAGAAAGATGAATTGCACTCTGAAATAAAGCTGAATTGTATATGCCTCAAGGGATGTGGCCCCAGTTGTAATGTTCCTTCACCAGCTCCTCTAAATATTTCACTTAGCTCCCACTTAACTGTTGATCTCTCTGCCATTAGTGACCCCAGGGGCGAATATATGTCACAAAGGTTCCCAGGAACTAGAACAGCTTTGCACAAACAGTATATAGAGCTATGTGATCTAATCTCCAGGGTAGAATGTTCTCCTGTAGCAAAAAACTAATGCTTCAGGGTCAAGATAGGGGCTGCCTTTCAGCCCCAGACCCTTGGTAAGTAACACAGAGAAATGAAAATTATCAACGCCCATGTTTGCAACCTACAGACAAAAAGAAATTCTTGGGTTAAAATCAAATAGCTTTAATGGAGTTGTCCCTGGAAAGAGGAGCAGGAGCTTTTCTATATTTAAATTAGTTTAACCACTTGTTTTCTGGATGACTTAGAGCAAGATGTCCTGTGCCTTAATTCAATAATTTCTAAGGCAGGGATATAGATTTGTTGTAGGAATGCTGTGAGGATTAAACCTTGTGGATGATATTGACAGCTAATGTTTACTGAGAACTGCTACTGATTTACCTTATGCAGTTGGTGTCCTTTTACCACTGAGGAAAAGGAGGCTCAGATGAATTCCAAGACCACACAGTTACAGAGGAGCAGGGCTGGGACTGATTCCCAACTTATCTGCCTCCCCAGAGACTGGCTGCGGCGGGTCCATGGAACAGACCAAGTTCCCTAAACAGATTAACCCACTTTCAGAGCCTTATCAGCATTGGGATCTAGAAACAACATAGCTAAAAGCTCACAGATCACAGAACCTGGAAAATAACCTTGGATCTTTCCAAAGGAAAGAGTTACATAGATCATGTCTTTCTATCATAGCAGGTCTCAAGGGATGAACTTTTCAGAATGTGAGTTTGTGTTTTTAGGCATGGTTTCAGACGTTGGAATTAAAGTCTGATTAGAAGGTAAATTTCTTAGCCTTTTCTTAGAATTAAATGCGTTATATTGAATTAGAATTAGAAGAATAAAAATGAACATACAAATGATAAGGTCCTTTTCTCCTCCCCACACCTTTTCATTCCAGGCTTCATGGTGATTAAAACTTTTTTTTTTTTAAGACTTTATTTATTTATTTGAGAGAGAGAAAGAGCATGAGCAGAGGGAAGAGACCAAGGGAGAGGGAGAAGCAAACTCCCCGTGGAGCAGGGAGTCCAAAGTGGAGCCCAATCTTAGGACCCTGGGATCATGACCTGAGCCAAAGGCAGATGCCCAACCAACTAAGCCACCCAGGTACCCCAGGCTTCATGGTGATTAAACCAATATATTGTTTTGCTTTCATTGTTAGCGGCTGCCGACACCTAGGCTATGGCGTCTTGGCTTAAGGATTTCTTCAGAATGTTAAACAAATAAATAAAGGAAAAAAACCCTATAAGACAATTCTCCTTTGGGGAAAACAAAGACATTTCTTGATTTAAAATGAACTCATAGCATCAGAGTTGATTTTTAACTGTGGAAAAGATACTAAGAAAATTGGAAAAGAGATATATACCTTCAGGTACACTTGTACATAGAAACAGAATGAATGAATTTTTGGACTAGACAACAAAACATATACCTAAAATATAATCCAGTGAATCATCTCTAGTGCAGGGATTTTCCTGTGCTAAAGCCTGAGAAAGTATCATTTTTTAATTTGCAAGCCTTGTTGAAACGTAGCTCGTCCTTATCCTCAATCACTTTCTTTTGCCAGCAGTCATTCAAGTTAGGTCTTGAAGCCTACATTTCTGCATAAGGGGCTCAAAAACAGCAACATTTACAGTAGAATTTAAGACCCAGAGCCAAAGCTAACAGAGGTGAATGAAGAAAGTACACACCAGAATTTATTGATCCTTGCCCAGAGGTTTTGTGCTCTAAATTCATCCCTGCACTCTTAACAAGGAACCAGCTACCATGGAAATTTTTGGCTTCAAGCTTCTTAAGAATGAAACCAAGACACAAAAAACCAAGTCTAACCTATAAACTTCTTAGAAGTCTGCAACTGTTTAACCTTACATATAAGATGACTGTATTTTGGATCTTTATATTTAATGAATGAGATTTTATTATAAATATAACCACTTCTTATCAGTTGTGTCTGACAACAGAAGCAAAAGGATAATTTATTCATTTATTAAACCATTAACAGATACTTACTGGGTGCCTAATAAAAACCAGACTCTAGACATGGGTGAACAAAACAACAGGAACAATAAACAAAAAAAACTCCGATGAGCTTATTCTGGGGATCAGAGGAAGGAGATAGACAATAAATAATAAGCATAACAAATGAAGCAAAGTATTTGGTATTTTAGAAGATGATAAATGCAATTTTTAAAGGCAGAGCAAATAGAGGTTTGAGAATGCCAAAGTAGAGAGTTCCATGATTTTTAATAAGGTGGTCAGGGTAAGCCACTGAGCTCATGACTTGAACAAGCAGCTGAGGTGGAGAGGAGGATGTCACACTACAGCTTTCTGGGGGAAGCGGGCACAGCCAAGGAGCCAGGGAAGAGTGGAATGAGAAGGGAGAGTGGTGGGTGTTAGCCTGAAGGTTGGGGGTGTCCACACCATGATGGTCTTGAAGGCCACTGCAAAGACCCTGGCTTTACTCTTTTCCAATGCCGCTTACTGCTCTCCCTTCTCAGGAGTTCCCTAGGGTGGGGGTTTAGTCAGGGTTGGTTGCTGAGAAGAGGATAGATGACATAGAGGAAGCAACCTCAGAGAATGCCTGCTTGTGACATGAACCGCCATTTTTCATTACTCTTTGGAAGCTGACTTTGATTTCCCAAATATCAAGTTAAAACAGAAGACGGAGATGGACTTCAAATAGGTTAGGAAGTGGAAAGGGAGTTTGTACTGAGCTAAACAGAGTGAGGCCACCATTCCATCTTTCCTTCCTGTCTGTTGGTCACTTTAGGACAAGTGGTTCATACAGGCTCACCAACCCCATACCCCCGCTGCGCTCGTAGCCAAGTCAAATGATGTCTCCTCAGGCCCATGGACAGTTAGTAGCTATGTTTTAGACAGAAAGAAATCTCACTTCATTCTGTTCATTCTGAAATTTCTCCCAGTCTCCAAAGAGACATTTTC